TATATTCCTTTTTCTATTTTAGGTCTGTGTTGCACTTGTATGTTTATGCAAAATTTTACATGTGAACTAAGTGTGTATGTCCACAGTGCTTCATATTGGCTTTTTAGGCTCTCCTCACTAATGATTATTGCTGAGGTCTCCTATGTCAGGGTTTTTCTTCCTGGTTATTACAATGGACATGAGTGCTCAGAAGGCTGAGGCAGGAGAAGCACAGTGAGTTCAAGGCCAACCTGGGTGACACGGGGAGTCCAAGGCAAACCTGCACAGTATAGCATGAATATTTATCTGTCTTAAGAGATAGTTTTACTGTCTTTTCTAAAGATAACTTCTTTTGTTTTGGGGGAAGCTTCTGTTTCATGTCAGTGCTTCTGTGTTAAAGCTTTTTTTAAAAAATGTATTTGAAAGCTTCTTGGCTTATCGCATACTACAGATATTTGTTAAGCTTTAGGAGATCTAATTTTCCCAGATCAAAGCTTCTAAAACTAAATGCTTTCAATAGTAGGAACAGCGATGCTTAAATGGCTGGTGGCAAGATAAGCAGTCGGAGTAGTGGTACATTAATGTGTTTGCAAGTGCTTGTTCATTGTGTAAGTACATACTTGATTAAAACCATATGTGAGCTCTCTCAGGCTTTCACAGAGAGCACATTGGCCAAGCAATGGCCGTGACTCATCCACATGGCTGCACTGACAAGGGTTCTACAATCTGAGGTACAGGATCTCAGGATAAATCCTGAGGGCATTTCACTGACCTTCTCAGACCAAAAAGCTACAACTCTTGTTGCACAGGTCCTGCTTTACTGGATGGTCTTAACCATCCAGTAGAAAAGTATGAAGACGAAATATAGGAAATAAAGCCATGCTGTTAAGTTGAGCTGTGGGGGACTCAGGTCAATAATTTCTGACATTGCCAGTTAAACAGAAGACCCAATGCTATTATGGGCTACTGGACTCTTTTAGAATATTTTGCTGAGTTTACACACCTATAATATTCAATAACAGATCTTAAAAAAATGGGGTATAACTATGAATGTCCATTTTGTATCTGTGTATTCAAAGTGGTTGGGATAGATATATAGTTGCATTCTCTTAATGAATAGAATGATTTGTTCTAATGGTGTTTGTAAATAGGATCACAAGTCTTCATCTTGTACAGCAATTAACCACTAAGAAGAATATATGCAGTGTATTATTTGTTGAAAGTGTACTTCCGATTTGATTTGAAACTGTCTCATTGCTATCTGTTTATCAATAAAACTTTGAAAAAAACCTAAACAATAAAAAACCCCCAAAAAACCATATGTGAGGGGCCATGACTCATCTCCATGGCTAACACTGACAAAGGTTCTACAATCTGAGGTACAGGATCTCAGGATAAACCCTGAGGGGATTTCACTGACCTTCTCAGACACAAAAGCTACAACTCTTGTTGCATAGGTCCTGCTTTACCTTGGTCTTGTCCATCCAGTAGAAAAGTATGAAGACGAAATAGAGGAAGTAAAGCCATGCTGTTATGTTGGGCTATAAGGGACTCAGGTCAATAATTTCTGACATTACCAGTTAAACAGAAGACCCAATGCTATTATGGGCTCCTGGACTCTTTTAGAATATTTTGCTGAGTTTACACACCTATAATATTCAAATAACGGAACTTAGAAAGAAAGGGGTATACAGATGAATATCCATTTTGTATCTGTGTATTCAAAGTAGATGGGATAGATATATAGTTACATTCTCTTAATGAATAGAATGATTTGTTCTAATGGTGTTTGTAAATAGGATCCCAAGTCCACATCTGGTACAGCAATTAACCACTAAGAAGAACGTGTGCAGTGTGCTAGTTATTGAAACTGTCCTACCGATTTGATTTGAAACTGTCTCATTGCTATCTGTTTATCAATAAAATTATGAAAAAAAATTATATACCTAGTAGGATACTAAAGAAAATGAAATAAAATTATGAATAAAGAAAACAAACAAATGAAAAAAACCCCATATGTTAGGGCTGGGGATATCGCTCAGAGGCGTAAGTGTAAGCCTGGCAAGCACAGATCCCTGAGTTCAATCCCTGGTACCGCACACACACAGACACACACAGAAACCATGTACGGCTATAGGAACCCCTTTGTAGAGTTCAGAATATACAGGTTTTAACATGCACTTAGTTTATTGCATTAAATTATCATTGCCTTTAGCTTAAAGGATTAAAATTACATTTGAAGAGATCATTGAATTTTTTTTTGAAACAACTCTTTGTTGCCACTTATAATAGAAACATTATAAATCAGTAAAAAAAATAATAAAACAAAATGAAATGCATCAGATGCACATTTTCACTTCCTCACCTTTCTCCCTGGTTCATTCCATTACCACCCTTCTAGAGGCATCCACCTTCCCACTCTCCTCAGCTGCAGTTTAGGGCAGGTACACCCCTCCAGGCCCACAGGTAGAGAATTTTGTCCCCAGCCTGTGGCCTGATTGCTAGTGGCAGGTTCTCTGAAGGCACAGTGGGACTCTGGCCCTCGCTGTTTCTTTGTGCATTCCTATACGCAGGTGGGTTAGGTTTCTCAGCCATGGGCTGACATCATCATGCGCTGTTGTATATCAAGCCAAAAGGAGCTGGGCCACGTGACCATTAACTGAGCCTTCTGAAACAAGGGATAAGGGCCGACCAGACAGCTCATCCAATTAGAGTGCCTGCTTAGATCAATGTAGGGACCAGGATTCAATCCCCGCTTGCCCTGCTGGCCCCACCCCCATGGTGCATGAGACAGCAATTGAGACTGGCTGTGGTGGTGTGCACCTATAATTCCAGCACTTGGCAGGCTGAGAACAGGAGAATCACTGAGTCCAATCTGCATAGTGAGACACTGTAGACCCTGCACTAAATACATTAAAAAAAGAAAAAGAAAAGAAACCAAGAGGTACACATTGAACTTGTCATGTTTATCATTGATTTATTTTATTCCTGTTCTGCTTATCTTGGTGGCAGAGACTGGTATATTGTGCAGACAGAGGCGTCACTCCCATCTCCCCAAAATTCTGGCATGTAGTAGAAACTCAATGTTAGTCATCACAAGTCCATGAACAGTGGATGAATTGCACCTGCACACAGAACTATGCAAGAACTCAGTGTATATATTGACCATGGATCCTGGGACGTACTGAAGAACTACACACAACACACACACACACACACACATACACAAAGATGTGCATACTCACACACACAAACACACATGCATTGAGCTGCACAGCAGGCCCAGCCTGGAGGGTGACAAGAGGGGCACAGAAGTGGGAATGTTTTCTTAGGAGTCATCACTGTATGTGCAAGGATTCAGGTCAGGTCAGCCTGGCTGGTAACTGTGGTGACAGTTTCATGGAACCAGGACCAGAGGTGATGGCAGGAGTCCAGCAGGACAGGGACAGTGCATGGCCTACAGTCCTGAAGCAGTGTCTGTCCACTTCTTTGTTCATGCCGATGACTCTCAGCTGTTCAGGCTGTGCAGGAAGAGGACCCTGACTGTGTCTGCAAACACATCCTGGAGGCTGGTGTTTAGAGAGAAGAGGCAGGAGTGACATGGTTTGAGGATGGTGGAAAAGATAAAGTCCAAGAATGAGCAGCATCAAGAAGGACAATGGTAATGAGGCTGATCAGAGCCTATGTTCTGGAAGGAAAAGGACCAGTTAGTGATGGTGGGACAAGACAGTTGGAAAGGTCTCGCTGGAGAAGCATACACTGGTCGACTTCAAGGATACAGCCTTAAAGAGAAGGAGTAAGGCCCACTCCTTCCTTGCTAATGATTGGATGGTGTGTGGATCACTGAATTAGATCACCGAGTTAGATCATTGACTTAGAAACAGCCACTTTTTGGGTCACTCTTTGAGGATGAGGGGATGTATGGGGAGTAAAGAGCTAGAAGGGCCAGAACGTCTCACTCCATGGAGACCAATACCAGATGTGGCCCATCTAGGGAAGGAGAAATGAACTTGTCATTTCTTTAAACCACTGTGCATCTTCAACTTCCATTCACTTATATATGAAGGCTTTGAGTTTATCATTCTTTATAGCTGAGTAAGGACCATTTTGTATTGAATATATATATATATATATATATATATATATATGTATCTGTATAGACAACATAGTTAGGATAGATATACAGCTACTTTCTCTTAGTTCAATGAGAAGAAAGTTTTGTACGAATAGTGTTTAGACAAGATATCATGTCTGCATCTTATACTATGAATAACTACAATGAAGACAACAATATGCAATGTATTAATTATTGTAACTGTCTGACTAACCTGTTTTGAAACTGTCTCATTGCTATTTTTTCTCGATAAAATTAATTTAAAAAAAAGATGGGACCACAGAAGCATGAGCACCATGGCAACCCAGGCAGGGCACCTGGGCTCAGGATGGTGACATGTGGCTCCAATGTGGCTCAGGCAGGCACACTGGGGTATCATGAAGAAGATGCTGAGGGAAAGGTGCAATGCTGAGATGTCACTTCACCTACCCGAGAGACTCATCTGTGGCAAGATCATGTCCGCTGCTGTACTTTCCACTTTCTTCCTGCGGGACTTCACTCTAAGTAGAGACAGAAGAACCTTGTGGTGTAAGCATTGGGTGTGCAGTGGCAGAATCAATGAACATGTGCCCTGCCAGGGGGCTAGAGGGGTGATATGAAGAGATAGGAAGCTCCCAGCCCTTGCAGATGGGACCAGCTACCTCCCCATGCTGGGTCAGAGTTGTGGAAGGATAACAAGTGTCCCTCATGCAATACATATCATCCCAGCCCCTGCATGTTCCCAGGCTTTTAGATCTTGTGTCATTCAGCATTAAGAGTCTTGTTCCGGTGCTGAGGACCCTGCCCCTCCTTCAGCCCTCGCAGCTCTTACCTCAGGAAAATAAGGCAGAGCCCAAGAAGCAGGATCTTGACAGACCCCCCCATGATGGCCGGCAGCAACACCTCTGCCATGGGCCCTGATTTCCCTGCAGGAAAGTGGGGGAAGCTGAATTCTCCCATGTAAGCAACGTTCCAATCACTTTTCTCACCTTTGCACTTGGATAGAATCTTCCTGTCATTCTTCAACCCTCTCCTACCCCGTACCTCAACTGTCCTGCACCGAGGAAATAGAACTTCACCTTGTCAAAAGTTAAAGTCTTGAAAAAAAAAAGTTAAATTCTTTTTGTTCCTGTACTGACTCTCCAGTATTTGTTATTATTCATTTCTTTCTAATCGCCATTCTTCCAGCAGTGAGGTGGAGCCTCAAGATTCTTATGAGTTATATCTCTCAGACGAGCAGCTACTTGTACTTCTTCTGAAAAATGCATATTCATTTCAACTGTCCATGCTTGGATTGTCTTTAAAACTGGAGTTATATTTATTTGGAGGTCTGTACATGTTCTATACATTAGTCCTTTTTCTGGGCAACAGTTGGAAAAAGTATATTCCTACTCTGTGGGTTTTCTTTTCAGGCTGTTGATGATTTCTATCGCTGTGGAGAACTTTGTTAATGAGATGAGCTCCCGGGTGTTAGTGTTGGCAACATTTCCCATGGCATCAGGGTTCTGTTCTTAGAGTCTTTGGCTGTACCTGTGTCTAAAGACTACCTGTTCTCTGATCCAGCAGATTTAGTGTTTTCATTTTAGTGTTCAGAGCTTTGTTCATGTTTGATTTTAGTTTAGTGCAAAGTGAGAAACACGGATCTCATTTGAGTCTTCAGCACATGGAGAGCCACTTTTGCCAGCACCATTTATTAAAGAGGCTGTCTTTCTTCCAGTGAAGGGCTTGGCCCCTTTGTCAAAGACAAGGGGCCTGAGTGTGTATGTGTCTTGTAGCCTGTTCCGTTGATCCTCAGGTCTGCCTTGTCTTTGCCTTACTTCCATAGAACCCTATCCTTCTTCACTGTTGGTGGGAGTGTAGACTCATGCAACTAATGTGGAAATCAGGGTGCAAATTCCTCAAAAAATAACACTAGTGGTTCCATTTGACACAGATGTTCCTTCTTTTGATATTTACAGAGAAGAATTAAAAGCCCCTTGACTGGCAGTGTCAGAAATTGTTGACAAGAATCCCCAAAGACCCAATACTGTTATGGACTACTGGACTTTTTTAGAATATTTTGCTGAGTTAACACACCTATAATATTCAAATGATGGAACTAAGCAAAAAAGGGGATACAGATGAATGTCCATTTTGTATCTGTGTATTCAAAATGGTTAGGATAGGTATATAGTTACATTCTCTTAATGAATAGAGGGATTTGTTCTAATAGTGTTTGCAAATAGGATCTCATGTCTGCACCTTGTACAGCAAATAACCACTAGGAAGAATGTTTGCAGTGTGTTAATTATTGAAACTGTCCTACCAATTTGATTTGAAACTGTCTCATTGCTGTTTGCCTCTCAATAAAATTACAGAAAAAAAATAAAAGCCCCCTCTCACAGCGGTGTATGCTGCCATGTTTGTACCACCACAGTGTGTGCTGGCTAGATCTTGGAAATAGCCCTAATGCCTGTGAGCTGATAAACATATACCGAGGCTGTGATGATTTTATACAATGGAGTACTGCTAAGTCATAAAAGATA